CCACCGCCACCACCACCACCCGACTCATGTTTTTAAATAGTAGTTAACCTACTGGTTTATAAACCACTTCAGAAATAGGAACCAGATATTTTTCTGTTGTGCTAGATACCCAGAGGAGACTCAAGTGAAGCTTTCTATTGTAAATTAGGCCCAGGCAGTGTTAGTTTTCCTTCTGTGCTATACTTTGATGGTGTGGTATTTATATTTCTAATAGTTGTTTATTTCTTCTGCCTTATATTGCAGCTAGTAGTATATGTACTTGATATGCCTATTGAATTGTAAGATCATTGAGGACAGAGACCATGCAGTCGTCATTGTTGCTGACATTTTTCTTTACCCTGGCATCTAGCCCATACTGAATAAAATTCATAGACGTGACAACCAAGTAGAAACTTAAGTTAAGGAGCCAACTATGAAAACATATTGGGTTTAGAAAAGCTCTAGGTAGATTTGGTAGTGAAGACAGGCCTTTAAGTTGTGAAAAGTAGCAAGGAGGCACACTGGAGTTGGGGAGAAAAATGGAAAGACAGTGATGGTAGTATGTGTGGAGGCAGGTCATGGAGAACCTTCGAAGATATGGTAAGAATTTGGGCTTATAAATCTGATGGAAATCATTGGAACATTTTGCTAGAGGAGTGACATATGAATTATATTTAAAGAGTTCACTCTAGATGTTGTGAAGAGAATGGATTAGATGAGGAACAAGAATAGAACCAGGGTGGACAAGATGGCTCAGAAGGTAAAGGTGCCTGCTGCCAAGCTGGACAACTTGAGATTGATCCTCGGCACACATATGGTGGAAGGAGAGGACCCACTCCCCAAAGCCGTTCTCTGAACTCTACTTATATGCTGTGGCAACCCTCTCCCAAAGAATAGAACCAGAGCCAGGCGGTCGTGGTGCACGCCTTTAATCCCAGCACTCAGGAGGCAGAGCTATGTGGATTTCCGTGAGTTCGAGGCCAGCCTGGTCTACAGAGTGAGATCCAGGACAGGCACCAAAACAACACAGAGAAACCCTGTCCCGGAAAAAAAAAAAGAAAGAAAGAAAGAAAAAGGAAAAAATAGTAGAATCAGGAAGAACTATAGAACTATTATGGAGCTAATGAGATAATTCAGGTCAGGGGTTGTCTGATTAACTTGGGGATGGAGTCATATCATAAGTGGTATGAAGTGTTTAGAGTATGAATATATTTGACATTAGAATCTAGGAAATTTGGAAAGAAGTTTACAGGGTCTTCAAATTTTCTATGGTTTTAGTTTAAACAGCATGGTGAATATATCTATATATAGATCATCTATATCTAAATCTATATCCATATCTCTATGTATTTATCTATCTATATCTATATATCTCTATCTCTGTCTATCTGTCTTTCTGTCTATTATTATATGTGTGAAGAAACTGACTGTGGATAAGGAATTCTGATAAGTTTTGAAATAGTGTCTTGGTTGCCTTTATTCTAGTCTTATATTGCTTCTAAATACTTTTTTATTATTAATTTTATCTGTAGGTTGGTAGTTAGTATTTGTTTAAGAGTTCTTTCAGGATAAGGACCTGAGCAGGGGTACTTTAAGAGTCCTTGAAGGGTTTTGTTATTTTGTTTTTCTTTTGTATTTCTACTATAAAAATGCTCATAGACCCCTCGTTGGCATTAATGATTTACTAAACAAAGTGGAAAAGATTCAATCTCCTCTTTGGCCTTCACATTCTGTAGGGAAATGTTTTGTGTTGTAGTTAAGATAAATTAATAAATACTTGTCTTAATTAGGGTGTTTATTGTTGTGAAGAGACACCATGACCATGGCAACTCTTAAAAGAAAACATTTAATTGGGGTGACTCACTTACAGTTTCAGAGGTTCAGTCCATTATCATCATGTTGGGGAGCATGGTGGCACACAGGCAGACATGGTGCTGAGAGTTTTCCATCTGGCAGGCAATGGAAAGTCGACTGAGACACTGGGTGGTATCCTGAACATAGGAAACCTCAAATCTGCCCCCACAGTGACACACTTCCTCCAACAAGGCCACAACTCCTAATATTGCCACTTCCTATAAGATTATGGGGGCCAATTACATTCAAAGCACCGCAACACTAAATTATAGCTTGTCCTTTGGAATGCAGTAGTTAAGGATCACAGAATCTGGATTTGGACTTTTGGTCATCTTATTATTTTTGTATAAATATCAGTAATCATTTTACCCTTTACAGCCTTAGCTTTCTTAACTGAAAAATTAGAAAAGCTCCTAACTATCTCAGGATTATTGTAAAAAATTGTAAAAATTGAGTTATGATCATCTGTGCTTAATACACACATCACTCAGGTGTTAAAATTTCATGAGGTCCGAATCTCAGTGAAGCCTGTGAATGGATTATTTGTGGAAAGTTCTGTACTTATATATTGCTTCAATATGTCCATAAATATACACATCATAAAAATGCATAAGTGCAGAGAGTTGATCAATAGGTGCTAAATAATAGTAAGAGATAAAAAGGAAGATCTGTTGCATGGTAGGATATTGGTGAAATTATTAAGCCCACTCCATGTAGTTAAAAGGAAAGTTTATTAGTGGTGTAACTTACAAATCAAGGGATAGGTAGGTCGCAGGGTCTGGGGAAGATGTATCACAGTCCAGCGGTGTTCTCTGGAGCTCTGCTCAGTCAACCTCCACCATCCAGGGTCCAGGAACAGAGAGAGCTGGCCCATCCAGATCTTGGGTCTCCAGGGTCCTTCCTTAGGCCCGCCTTGTAGGCTTGACAGTTACTGAAGCCTCAATGGGGTTTGGAACTTCCAGATCAAAGCTGGAATGGCTACCCATTACAGTAGGATGCCTATAGATAATGATATTGTATGTATATTTCACAAAGCTAGAGGGATTTTTTAGTATTTTTCACTATAAAAAAGTAATAAATATTTGAAGTGATAAACATGTTTAACTTGATTTAAACACTGAACATGTATCTGTTTTGAAACATCTGTATCTCATACATATGCATAATTCTATCTTTTATATGTTATTTAAAATGAATGTAATGTCTAAAAGTATGCGACTGAGGAGAAATGCTTGTGTTTACTTTATAGGTATTGGTTTGCCTTGAGAAAGGGTTACCATGTGGTTTTCAAACACAGCAGCAGAACGAGGAGTTTTATGGAGGGACAAACGGATCCTCACAAAGAGGCCATAGACGCAGCCACTGACTTGAGCATGCTCAGGCTGTTTGAAACCTACCTGGAAGGCTGCCCACAGCTCATTCTTCAGCTCTACGCCTTTCTGGAGCGCGGCCAGGCAAACTTAAGTCAGTGTAAGTCTTTCTTGATACCCCCGGCTAGAGATCTTATCATAGCTGTATAAATCTCAGGACTGTTCTAGAATGTTTTAATCCTAAAAATGGCATTTTCAAATGAAATTTAGCAACATGCTTCAAATATTAAGGAATATGTAAAGATATAATCTCTATTTCTGTTCTTTATGTTCCATCCCTTGTCTGCCTAGAAGGGACACTACTGCTGTTGGTTGCTAGACAATCCTTCAGAGAACCTGGAAAAAGTGTATGCTATGTTTTGTTTTATTTTTTTCCGTGTAAGACAAAGAATATAGCAATTGGCCTTTTGTTTTGTATTCAACTGTACATCCTCAGAGCTGTACAAATCAGTACAGGGAAGGTTCCCTCATTCTTGTCACATGCATCATGCTACAAATGACAGATAAACCATAATTTACCAGCCACTCTGTTCTTTATGTTAATTTAGATTGTTTAAAAATATCTGATTATAAAATGATGTGACAAGCAAATTTTTGCAATTTTATGTTATGATTCTGTCCTTATCTTTGATTTTTTCTTTTCATCTTTTTTAAAATTTAAGATAATGTTTTCATATGCTATATTCTGAATACAGTTTCCCCTCTCTCTACCACTCCCAGTTTACCCCTCCCATCTCTTTCTGTCTTTCCCTAGAAATCAAACAAGCATCTAAGGGATAATAATAAAATACAATAAGATAGAAAACCAAACAAATCAGAATAGGACAAAGTAAACAAGCAGAAAGAAAAGAGCCCAAGAAGCAGATATAGACACAGAGACCCACTGTTTACACACTCAGTAATACCATAATATATGTGTGAAGGACCTGTAGGGTAGTAGATAGATAGATAGATAGATAGATAGATAGATAGATAGATAGATAGATAGATAGATAGATAGATAAAAAGTTAAAAATTAAAAGAAAGAAAGAAAAAGCCTTGGTATGACATTATGAGACAAGGAACCTCCAAAGATGACTTTGAGCTCATTTTCTGTTGGCTGCCTACATGCAGCCTACACTTAAGAGTAGTTTATTTCTCCAGTGAGACTCCCTTGGAGAAAATTAAATTTTTATTTGCAAGGGGTTGTCAATTTGAGATAGCTTCTGGGTAGGGATGGATGCATGTGTCCACTTTATTGCTTTTTCTTCTTAAGGGAAGAATTTGAAGAGTTAATTTAAAATAGTAGCTGGGCAGTGGTGACGCACACCTTAATCTCAGCACTTGGGAGGCAGAGGCAGGCAGATTTCTGTGCATTCAAGGCCAGCCTGGTCTACAGAGTAAGTTCCAGGACAGTCCTGTCTTGAAAAACAAAAAAACGGTTAGAACAACAACGCGCTTCCTACGGACGCAAATTGTTTGCAGAGCGTGTCTTCGCCTTGCCAGGAAACTACTAAAGTTCCTGTGGGATCAAGTAGAATTTTATAAGAACATAATGGATGGAGAGGAGAAATCCTATGGTGGCTGTGAAGGCCCTGATGCCATGTATGTCAAATTAATATCTTCTGATGGGCATGAATTTATTGTAAAAAGAGAACATGCGTTAACATCAGGAACAATAAAGGCCATGTTGAGTGGACCAGGGCAGTTTGCTGAGAATGAAACCAATGAGGTCAATTTCAGAGAGATCCCTTCGCACGTGCTACAAAAGTATGCATGTATTTTACTTACAAGGTCCGCTACACTAACAGCTCCACCGAGATTCCTGAATTCCCGATTGCACCTGAAATTGCACTGGAGCTGCTGATGGCTGCGAACTTCCTAGATTGTTAAATAGAATAAATTATAATAAACTGTTCATTTTTTCAGTATTTAAAAAAAAAACAAAAAAACAAAAAACAAAAACAAACAAGAAAAGATAGAGAGCAAGCAAGCAATTATCTAGCAATAGAGAACTTGATAAACAAATTTCTGTAGACATTTAGAATAAAACATATAGCTTTTAGAAGAATCTTTTCAGAGATTTTTAATGACGTAAGAAAGCATTTATAAGATCAAATTTAATTAAACTTGTGTTAAAGGATGTTCATATATATATATTTTAGTTTTTTCGAGACAGGATTTCTCTGTGTAGTTTTGGTGCCTGTCCTGGATCTCGCTCTGTAGACCAGGCTGGCCTCAAACTCACAGGGATCCTCCTGGCTCTGCCTCCCGGGTGCTGGGATTAAAGGCGTGCATTGCCACTGCCCAGCCCATCAATGTATTCTTAAGGATACAAAGAAATGACTAGAAAGAAACATGTTTGGATGAAAGTGTGCCAAAATATTAAGTACGGCTGCGGTTGGTAGTGGAATTTTGAATGATTTTTTTCATCTTTTTTGTTTTTTGGATGTTATTTGATGATCATAAAAATTATTCAAAATGTAAAAATATCATATTATGCCATGAAGAATATCATACATCATGATCAAATGAGCTTCATTCCAGAGATACTGTGTTAGTGTAATGCACTCAATTCAATAAATGTAATATGTTATATAAATAATTTAAGGAGGAGCTGGAGAGATGGCTCAGCGGTTAAGAGCACTGGCTGCTCTCCCAGAGGTCCTGAGTTCAAATCCCAGCACCCACATGGCAGCTCACAGCTGTCTCTGACTCCGAGATCTGACACCCTCACACAGACGTACGTGCAGGCAAAATGCCAATGCACATAAAATAAAAATAAATTAATAAATAATTTAAGGAGGAGATTCAGGAAAGATTCTGAAACATTCAACATACCTTCATGATGAAAATCACAAAGAGATTAGGAATGAATGGATCATACCTCAAATTGTAAAGGCCATATACAATAAACCTATAGCTAAGATTGTACTAGTAGACTAACTGAAAGCATTACCTCTAAAATTGGGAATGAGACAAAGATTCCTACTCATATCTCTCTTACTCAATAGAGTTCAAAGTCCTAGTTAGGTAAACAAGACATAAAAGGGATAAACATAGGAAAAGAGGAAGTCAGGCTGTCCCTAATGCAGACGTATGACTCTATACTGTAAGACTCCATAGAGTCTACCACAAACTTTAGACCTAATAAAGTACTTTCAGTAAAGTTGTAGGACACAGAATCAGTACACAAAGATCAGAACTCTTCATATATACCAATAAAGAACTCACAGAGAAATAGATTAGGGAAAGCATCCCATTTATAATAGCTTACAAAAATAAAGAACCTAGGAATAAACCCAATTAAGGAAGGAAAACCTCTACAATGAAAACTCAAGACATTGAAAAACAGAAACCAAAGATATTGCTAGGAAAGGGGAAGATTGGCCGTGTTCCTGGCTTAGCAGACCCAATGTTGTAAAAATGGTTGTGTCACCAAAAGTAATCTACAGCTTCAATGTGATTTCTATCTAAATTACAGTGTCATCCTTCCTTCACATGACTAGTAAAAGTAATCTAAGAACTCATGGGGATCCACCAAAGTCCACACAACAAATGTCCAGTGCAATAATAAGGAGGAAGAACACAGCTGGAGTTATTACAATAACTGATCTCAAGTTGTACTGTCAAGATGTAGTAATGAAGGCAGTCTTGGACAGGCATGAAAACAGATAGGTAGACCACTGGAGCAGAATAGAGGGTCTGGAAATAAACCAATAAGCTATGGCTGCCTGATGGTCGACAAAGTTGTCTAAAACATGCAGTGGAAAAAGACAGTCTATTCAAGAAATGGTGTTGGCTTGGCCTAACAGTGCTCCTGCAAGAGCCACAGATATCTGCAAACAACTGCAATACCTGGCGTGAGACACCCCCTTTCCAATTGTGGCACAATATAGGCTATTGCTGTTGTCCTTGTTTGCCTCCAAAAGGTAGAGCCAATGCACTATTTCTGAAGATACCTGGCACTTTAGTAAAAGGCCAGGAGGACCCAGGCGGGATCTGACTTGAAAGTTCTGCCTCCCCACCCACCCCCATACCCCTTCTGCCCGAGAACTAGCTTTCATATTATTATGCAAGTTTCCAAGGGAGGGAAGCAGCCAATATTCCTACCCAACTGTAATACCTATGAATCACAACTAGGGTGGCATGATAATCCTAAGGGTGCAATAGTGATTATCTTGGCAGCAACCAACAGCTCTCTAATTGGACTTAAGGCCAGCTCAACAGGAGGAAAATCATGTGTGTTCTACCTAGCCAACTACCCAGGACTAGTGAGGTCAAGGACCGTAGAGGAGAGCTTACCACTGTCATCTTACTAAGCATTATAATTCCTCACAGTATTTGCAATATTTGTCCTTGTACCCACAGATAAATGGAGCTCTCACCCCTCATCAAAGAACCTTCTCTTTGCAGTAGATACTGTTACAGAGAGTCGCAACCTTGTTCTAGAACAAGTGATTGTGAGACACCCAGCCCCAGCTGATGCATCTCCAACACAACTCCCACACCTAAGGCTCAGGGAACATTGCAGAAGAGTGAACAGATTCTTGTAAGAACCGGAGGTCCAGGGAGTCTGCTGTGAGATGTGTTTCCTAGAAACGACAGGGAGGTTTCACCCACAATACCTCAACAATATGGCTGCCTAAACCAAACCCGAAGAAGTAGAACACCAATAGACATGCTAACGTGGAGCGGGGAATCTCACAGGGCCCCGTCCGTAGCAATGAGCTCCAGGCAACTAAGGAATTCCAGGACTGGGAGAAATCGTCTCTCCCAGTTGGTTATCTAATACCGAGTGGTCAGTCCTGAACTTGTGTACATACAAGCAACACTAAATGAATTTATATATTGAGGCGTGTGTATGTGTGTGTGTGCATGTATAACAGTAACAGTTTTTTTTTTTAAAGGCCATGATTTTAAGAGGGAACAAGGCACAGGGTATATGGGAGAGGTTGGAGGGAGGAAGGGAAAAGGGAAATGATGTGTTTTTTATTAAAAAATATATAACATTTTTAATAATAAGAGATGGTGCTGACAAAATTGCAGAGTCACTCACAGAAGCATGAAGTGAGATCCATATCTTTTACCTTGTACAAAAGTCAGTTTAATGTGGAACAAAGACCATAATTTAAAACCCGAAATGTTGAAACTGCTAGAGGAAAACAGAGAATGGTGTAGGCGAGGACTTTCTGAACAGAACTCTAGCAGCACAGGAGCTAGCCTCCAGAACCAACAAATGGAGCTACACAAAATCAAAAAGGTTTTCCACAGCACAGGACCAAGTCCAGGTTCCAGAAGCCATATGATGACTCGACTATCTCTAACTCTGGTTCCAGGAGACCCAGTGCCCTCTTCTGGCCTCCATGGGCATCAGGCACATGCAGGCAAAACACCTGTAGACATAAGATTTGAAAAAATTAAAAAGTCACTGGGCAATTTAGGGGAAAGTGATATTTCAATTAAACAAGAGGAGAAAGTAAGGTCCAGCTCCATCGTGTTTTGTGCCAAAATCCAGAGAGGAGAAAGGTGTTTATAAGGCCCTGGCAAGAAACACACCACTGAGAGCTGACTAGGCACGTGTAGACCGTGGATGCGGCTCAGTGCCACTCACACTCTGTCTTCTCCTGTGACTACTTCGTTCTGATTTCTCATCTATTTGAGAACATTCTCTGCTTTGACAGTGAGGTTAGAAATGGCTTGCGTTTCCAGAACAGCAAGGAACTTCTTCTTTGAGTGTTTGCTGGGAGAAAACAGTAAAGATGTCAAACCTCTAGAACTTTGTGAATTTCAGAGTATATTTGTTCACGTGACTAAGTGCTTATAGGTTATGAAAAATGATTTTTTTTTTTTTTGGAGCTGAGGACCGAACCCGGGACCTTGTGCTTGCTAGGCAAGTGCTCTACCACTGAGCTAAATCCCCAACCCCAAAAAAGGATTTTCTTCATGATGTATACTTATGTCAAATTTCTGCTTAACTGTCTCATACCCCATTAAGCTATCTCTCAGTGAATTAGGTATGTGTACAAGGTCAAAACCAAATAGTGTAGAAAACGTGACTTATAGTGTTTAGCCAAAGTATTGTTACTGAATATATTCAAGATTATTCTAAAGCAGTATGATATCATTCACTAACATACCAACTTTCAGACAGCTTTAGTTTCAAATTTCAGTCCCATCACTTTCCAGTTGCATGATAAGAATCAAGTAATGAATCTCTTCAAACCTTGGCTCCCCTAATGCCATATGGAGATATCAAAATCTACCCTCAAAGAATTAGATAGTAAACTGCCGGACGTGTTGGTGTGGTCTACACTGCTAAAGCATGCATGGCACATGCTAATTTACTATTGCGATTACTATTACTATTCTTTTTTGTTTTGTTTTGTGTTTTGAGACAGGGTTTCTCTGTGTAGTTTTGGTGCCTATCATGGATCTCACTCTGTAGACCAGGCTGGCCTTGAACTCACAGAGATCGGCCTGACTCTGCCTCCGAGTGCTGGGATTAAAGGCATGCACCACCGCCACCCAGCTTCTATTACTATTCTTACTAATATTAGTGTTACCATTCCTAAACCAATATGTCTTTTCTCTTTTGTTTTGTAGATGCAGTCATCATGATTTCCTGCTGTGCTATTTCTTGGTCAACAGTTGATTATCAAGTAGCTTTAAGAAAATCATTGCCTGATAAAAATCTGCTTGGTGGACTCTGCCCCAAACTCACATATCTCTTTTATAAGTTGTTTACCTTGTTATCATGGGCGCTGAGTGTTGTGCTTCTGCTGTTTATGGACGTGAAGGTGGCTTTGTTTCTGTTGTTATTTCTTTGGCTCATGGGTTTCATCTGGGCATGTATACAGCAAACACAGTTTTGTAATTCTCTAAGTATGGAATTCTTATATAGGATTGTTGTTGGATTCATCCTTGTGTTTACATTTTTTAATATTAAGGGACAGAATACCAAATGTCCAATGTCTTGCTATTATATTGTAAGGGTGCTAGGCACTCTGGGAATCTTGACTGTGTTCTGGGCTTTTCCTCTCTCTATTTTTAATTCAGACTATTTCATTCCTATTAGTGCTACCATAGTTCTTGCTCTTCTCCTTGGGATTATTTTTCTTACTGTTTATTATGGAATTTTTCACCCAAACAGAAATGCAGAAACACAGTACGATGAAACTGATGGAAACTCAGCACAGAGAGATTGTAGAATGAGATATTTTCTAATGCACTAAGTTATGAATTTATGAGAAATGTTTTATTTTTGTTTCATCACCTAGTAAAGAAAATGTTATATGCATGTGTTGTTTCTTATTCTTGTCACCTTTAACTTGAATGAGTTATGGTACATGGTAAATGAGACCATAATAATGTTTTATTATTTAAAATAATTTATTTTTTATGCTGCTGTGAAAATTCATTGTTTACTCATTATTAGCTTTATAGACGCATTCTTATTAGTATATAAATAGTTATGTATAAAAATGGGTGTCATTATGGCGTTTTCATAAATCACATAATGCACTTCAGTCAGGTTCACCCCTGATCCCTCTCTGTCCTGATGACCCCCCTCTTCCCAACTAGCTTCCCTGCTTTCATATCTTGGTTTAGTTTAGTTTTTTCTTTTCTTTTTTTTACGACCCAGTGAGTTTCATTGTGGTTGTTTACAGGAACACCGTCACTTTATGCCCCTCTCTCTTCTCATCAGCCATAACTGACTGTGAGTCCTTACTGAGGGGTGGGCCTCTCAGTTCCATGATCCCTCCACGACAGAGTGTTGATGGACTCAGTTTCCTGTAGATATTACAGCGACTGTGAGTTTCAGGCTGTAAGAGCCATGTCAGACTAAAAAACTGTTCTACACCACTACCTCCTTCCTCCAGCTCTTACAAGCTGCTTTATAATTTTTACATGGTAATTCTAATAGCCCAGGGCATTCTGGGATTGGTCTCCATTTGCTGCTTTCTTACCTTGGGTCTGGGACACATTTTTTGTTTCCTTGTACATATACTAATTTTGAATTGTGTCTTGGCTTTATGAATAATCTTTATCAGACCCTTTTTAACTTTGAACATCTTAATTATGTTTATTTGTCTTGTGTGTGTGTGGAGGTGGGACATGTGGGTGGGACTGGAGGATAACCTTTAGAGACGGGCTCTCTCCCTCATCGTGTGGGTCCAGGGGGTTGAACTTGGGCAGTCAGGCTTGGCAGCAAGAGTTTTTATCTGCTGAGCCGTCCTGGCTGCCTCATTTCTCAGGGTAGTTTGATTTTCCTTTTGACAGTCAGCTTACTTGAATTTTAAATTTTGAACATTAAGTAATGTTTATCCTTCGGTGGGCTGCTTGGATTATGTCCTTCACATTCAGAATTCAGAACTAGCACAGTTAGTATATGGAGTGATTTCTCCTCCGTGTTAGTTTTCTCATAAGATTTTCCTCCCCCTTTTGAGCATCTGGGGTCACAGCACATTCTGTCACCTGGGCCTTAAAGTCACCAAGACTGTAGAAGTTCCAGCAGTTTTTTTTTTTTAATATTTCTATTTGTGCTTGTAATTTTTATTTGTGTGTGTGGTATGTCTTGTGTACGCATGTTGTATTGGTGTGTATGTACTTCTTAGTGTAAGGGTGTGCACATTTGTGTGGAGGTCAGAGGTCCCTTTGGGGAAACTTTCCTTGGCCACTTTCTAGGGTCTGTCATTGACCTCGGAGCTCATTGATGTGGCCATGTGGGTGGCCAGTGAGCTTTCTGGATCTGCCGGTCTCTGCACAACCACCAGCTGCATTCACAAGGGTATGTATGTCTTCATTCCCAGTTTCCATAGACTCCAGGAATCCACACTCACTTCCTCAGGCTTCAACAGCAGGGCCTTTCCCAACTGAGCCGTCTCCCCAGATCTGT